AGGCAGGCAATCCTGTTTTCAGCAATCCTCCTCCTAAACGTTATTTCCAAATTGTAACAACTACAAAGGAAGCACATACGCAAGGAATAAACGTGACTTACCTATGAACTCAGTGACAGGATCATGTTCGCCTTCTGTTTTAATAGTACCTGCAATACTTTCATTTTCCAAGATTGGAAGAAAAAGTTGTACGAAGTCTGAGGTATATGGAGGAGCAATCACATCGAGCACCTGAAACGGCAGATAAAAATGGATTATTCTTCCAATTAGAGGGGTAGTATGGACAATATTTAATTGACAATACTGGTCTTGAAAGCATACAAGTAGTTGCACGTGAGACCTCTTGTTCTCCATACAAGTAGTTAATTATGTATTCATGTGGTACTCTGTCCAGTACCTTAATACTGTCAGGACTAAGTCACACCCTAGTGAATACCAGTATTACAGACATCGCTCAGAATCCGATCTCATATCTCGAAATATTTCTGCATCTGAGACAAGTTGATTTAATATCCAAACACATACAACTGGTATTAGTCTATTTCTATACGTTAGTAAACACAATTTTTGCTGCTGACCTCTGTAACAAAGTATCTGATGAGAGAGATATCCGTATCTAGCTTCTCCAGGCATTTGCGGATATAGCTGACGACAGGCAGGACATAACCTCGACTGAGTAAGTGCACCATTCTATCCAAGAGAGTCTTCTTCAACTCCAGCTGATGGCGCGGGGAGGGAAGAACCAACAGATTAGAACCTCCTCTCAGAAGCGTGCAATTTTTCTTGCTCATTCTTACTGATTCAATATGCACTACGTTACGTTTTAACCATGACCATATTCCTGAATTAAACTCTTAATACTACTGTGACAGCAAAAGCTGTTATCTTGAATAAGCATAACTAACATGAAGGAACACAAATACTGAATCCTTTGAGAATCACCTGCTCCATTACATCAAGCTGCGAATGTTCTGTTTCGAAGAGCTTCACAAGAAGTTGCAGAACTTGGGGATGAAGCAGCTGATGGCATGTACTGATCTGCAAACAAGACAGGCGTTAGATCCTCAGAACTTCAATTTAAAAACCAATGCACCAGTTTTTATTACATGAGTTCACATTGGTGTTCAGTGCCAGATGTAAATTCTTTTAGAAAAAGTATTCCACCATTTCTTTCTTTGATGCCTAAGTTTTCCTAGTGTAAATAATGCTGAGATGACAAA